TTTGATAACTATTATATTTTAATTAAAATATTTTAAATTAAAATATTTTGACAGTGTTGTTTTAAATCAAAATCAACTTAAAGATTTACCATTTTGAAAACATTTATTCAATTAAGAAACTTAGAACTTGCCAAAAAAAGGTTAATATGAAATTACACTTATTTTTTTAAAAGTCTAGTATGTGTCAGACCCTATTCTAAGCACTTGATTTTATTAACTCATTTAATCCTCATAGGAATTTTCTTTTTTTTGGTACCGGGGATTGAACTAAGGTCCTTGCGCTTGCAAGGCAGGAGGCGGAACCGCTGAGCTAAATCCCCAGCCCAGAATTTTCTATATGAAGAAATAAAAGTACAAAGTCATAATCACTCTAGGTGGATTCAAATCCAGGTAGTTCTGTTTTAGGCTTTTTTTCTTTTTTGGTATGGTGCTGAGGACCACAACTTAAGCTTTATGCATGCTAAACATGAGTTCTACCACAATATACGTTGACTATCTTTTTCTTTTCTTTTTTTTTGGTACTGGGGATTGAACTCAGGTCCTTGTGCTTGCGAGGCAGGCACCAGAACCACTAGGCTAAATACCTGGCCTCCAACTATCATTTTCAATTAGGTAGATAACTCAGTTATATTCAATCTGACCAACTAGAAACTTGACTATCTTTTTCAATGCTAAATTCTGGAGATTTTCTAACATGTTAAACAGAATGCATCAGGTTCAAATGTATAGAACTACATCTGAACCTACAGGAGGAAAAAAAACAGAAATACTAGGAGAAGGGAGGTGAGAGTCAGAACTAATCATTAACAAGTGTTCATGGATCAGCTACATATATATTCCCACCTTATGAGCTAAATACCATTTCAAAGATGAAGAAACATAAATCTATTATGAAATTCATTCAAAATCATACAGCTTCAAACTGGTATAATTAAGAATGAGAATACAGACTGTTCTGCACTTGATCTTAGCCAAAAGGCCAAGAAGAGACTGAGAATATAGACTGATCTGACTCCATACCTCTTCACTACGCTGTGTTGGCTTAACAGTAGAAAATGAAGGGAAAAAAAAAAGATATTTTGTATTTTTGCTGATAGCAAGACCAACATAAATCAATGGTGTAACATGAGTATTTCCAAAGCTATTATATTTTTAACATGCAATAATTGTACAGTTGAGATTAAAATTGCTATTAGGGAAGGAGAGACACACCTGCTCCCGATTCAGCCGCCATGGCTCAAGTGCCGGGAAGGTAGCCACGTGGGTGCCCCTGAACCCCATAAGTCCCTCCCCACCCACACTCTCAGACCTCCTGACTGTGCCAGTCTTTGGACTCACTCTGCAGAGGCAGAGGTAGTCATCAAGGGTATTTTTCTGAGTTCCCAACTGAACATCTTTAAAGAAAGGGCGTGGGAAACCTGTAATAGAATGTTGTGGAGTTCAACCATTCAGAAGGTTGGGGAACTCAATCTGGGCCTTGCAGTCCGAGGTCAGTCAGCGTCATGGGGTTTAGCCATCAGCTGAGACCAGGGGACTTGCATCCTTGCTCTGTCTGAGCCATTAAATGGTAAATATACTATACTGAAATTTTGTCCACTGCAGACATGTTCTGGAGTGCTTCTTGATTTCAATTTAATTCAAATGATTTAAAGGTGATAGACTAGTGACTACCACCAGTGGTCAGTATCAAAGTTGTGCTTGATCTTAATGTGTTGCTGATTTATCAGTTGGGATAAAGCATTGTGGTTGATTTGATGAGCTGTTTTCTCTGATGTTATGAAGATGAGACTGTCTGTGGGCCGTTAAGGACACAGAAGCTAGGGCGCAAATATATCAGGAAGATTTGGGTGATAACCCAGAGATTAAACCAAGGACAGTCCGACAACAAAAATAAAAATGAGAAAACACTTAAGCAAGATACAAGGACAGACTTCCAGTTCACCAATGGCAAACGGTAGGGCAAATGAGGATGAAAAGGCTGATAGTGAACCACCAGGACACTCTGAACTCAAAACACAGGAAGTAACAAAACAGATCAATCGGGCTCTAGAAAAATTCAAAACAGAAATAATTTCCCAGATAACCATAGAGATAGTGAGCAAAATGGAAGTTGTGATTCGAGACTCTAGAGCAGAAACTGACAAAAAAAATAGATGAGCTCAGGACCATGATAGAAGCCATGAAGGCCTAGCATAAGAAAGAAATGGAAAAAATAAGCGCCCAACATAGGAAAGAAATGGAATCCATAAAACAGATTCAAACAGATATCCAGGAGATTAAACACTCCACAGAAAGTGTACACAACGGAATAAAAGAATGTGAAGATAGACTCTCACATATAGAAGATAAGATTGCAGTTAGTGATCATGAAAAGAGGTTTCTTAAAAACAATAAGGGATGATGAGAAATCGATCCAACAACTCCTAGATGATGCAAAGAAGAATAACATAAGACTGATAGGAATCCATGAAGTAGCAGGAGAAAATACAAATTACTTAAAAAGCTCTTTGTAGAATTAATGACAGAAAACTTCCCAAACAGAGGGGAAGAATTTGACATTCTGATAACTGAGGCATATAGGACCCCAACTAGCTACAATCAAAAAAATCTACACCTAGACATATAATAATCAAGATCCCAGAAACCCAACAAAAGAACAAAATACTACAAGCAGTAAGAGAAAAGAAACAAATCACATACAAAGGAAAGCCCATCAGAATCACAGCAGACTTTTCAACACAAACCCTTGGGGTACGGAGAGTCTGGAATGAGATATTTCAAGTCCTAAAAGAGAACAACCTCCAACCTTGACTGATGTATCCTGCAAAACTCTCTTTCAAAATGGATGGGGAAATGAGACACTTCCATGACAAAGAACACCTGAGAAACTACATGAATACCAAACCAGCACTACAAGCAATTCTAAACAAGATCCTAGAAAAAGACAATGAAGGCAACAACACCATGAGGCCCAACAGAGCAAATCAAATGGGTAAGGCAAGAAATTAAAAGGAGAAGGTGAAAAAGTAAAAAGAGTCAACAAAAGGCCAATAATATGTCAATAATAAGTCAGTACATATCAGTTATAACCATCAATGTCAATGGCCTCAACTTACCAATCAAGAGAAAGAGACTGGCAAAATGGAATAAGAAGCAAAATTCAACAATAGGTTGTATACAAGAAACACACTTAGTGCAAAAAGAAGCCCATAGACTGAAAGTGAAAAGATAGAAAACAATTCTCCATGTGACAGGAGCCCAGAAAAAAACAGGGGCAGCAATCTTATTTGCAGACAAAGTAAATTTCAAACCAAAACTGATTCTAGTATTATTGATGTAAGACGATACTGTATCATATCTCTATGAATGTAAACTATCTTATACCTGCTTTATGATACATAGTAGGGACCATGCTTTATCAGAGCTACATTTAATGATATTACTCTAGAATGTTCTCTTTCCAGATGATGATTAAGATGCTAATAAAAAAAATGGTGCCAGGTACCACAACAGCAACAGAATTTTACTATTTTCTGGATATTATTCTTTTTTTTGTTTTTGTTTTGTTTTTTTTAATGGAATGTGCTGAATGTCTATAATTTTGTTCAGATGACTGCAGAACCTGGAAAAGCTGTTGCTGCTATTGATGCATTATATACTGCTATTATTAGTCTTTTTATATAAATAAATAAATATATATACACACACACACACACACACACATATATAAATTGAATTTTGGGAAACTAACGGTGCAGCCAATTTTGCAAAAAGTCATCCCAATTTACTGTGTTGAGTTGGCAATGCACAGAAATGGACAGCCATATTGGTCTAGAAATGTTAATATTTTTTATTTTTTTCCATGTATAAAGGGGTAACACATCGTACTAAATATGTAAGGTCATATCTATGTGGGTTTGATTATAGAAACTAATAAAGTATTCTCTAAACAATGAAAAAAAAAGAATAAGACTATAAGAGCAATAAGCAATTTAAACATGTTCAGGGACCATTTTCATCTCCAGAATTAAGGATTATTTTAATCTTACATCATTGCCTTTTCTCTTTTACTTTCCTTTTTAGTTGTATTTTAGGATTCCCTATTTTTAATGTTCATACAGAGATTTCTTTAACTGAAATACTGAAT